GGCCCCCTGAAGTCAAACACAACCCTGATGCGGCCATCCATGAAATTGAGTTTGACACCCCTGGATTAGACTGATAAATCCTTAAACAAATGGCTAGTTTATATTATTATGAAAAAAAGTTGTGATTTGATGCTAATGCCCTATTTTACTGCAACAGTGTGTCGGAAGTCTATGCTTCTTTTTTCTAACCTTTCTTCACTTTTCTCCCCCTACCTTCTTCCCATTGTTTTCCTAATTTCTTTCATATTTTGTATCTTATTTTATCCTATATCTCAATAAAAATGTTAATGAGATAAAAAAGGAAGGTTTCTTCTGATCCACCCAGAGGTGATATTCAGCAGGTTCTGAACAGTTCCGGAGAACCGGTAGCGGAAATTTTGAGTAGTTCAGAGAACCGGCAAATACCACTTCTGACTCGACATTTTACAGTATCCTTCCCCTGCCATGCCTACCAAGCCTTACCCACAGAACCAGTAGTAAAAAAAATTGAATCCCATCACTGGATCTATCCATGGAACGACTGCAGTAAATCAGTCAGTACACCTGATAAGGAAGAAACAGTGCCGTTCTGTGTGCAGATATGGGATAACCCAAAAAGATACAATAATGACACAGCTTGGTTAAATGAGATGAATAAAAATAAAAAAGCACTTGAAATGAAAGTAGTAGTAATAACAATAGAAACTGTAGAGTAGTGTGTAAGAAAGATCAAGAATTGGTCAGAATTAGGTGAAGATGAACTGCATGTTTTTTGGTTGAAACATCTAACTGATCTACTTCTGGGAAGATGGCCAACTGAAATACACAACCAGGGAGGGATCTCTGAAGGATTTTCCCCTGGAAAATCTTTTCAATTGAAAGGACTGGCATTCCTTCAGTTTTCCTGACCCATGGTCAGGGTGAGTCGAAGAACTTATTTATTTTATTTGTCAAGCATGTATTAGATAACAGATATAATTAAAACATGATTATGATTACATGAAATGGGTATGAATAAAAAGGGACATTAGGACAGGGATGATAGGCCCATTGGTGTGCTTATGCACACCCCTTGGAATCGTCCAAATACAGCTGAAACCTGGCAAATGGCTTCTGGAGTTTGACTCCAAAGCTGTGTGCATGCCAAAAGCTGGGGGGAGGGGCTACAATCTGTTCAGGGTTGAAGAAGCCACCATTTTGAAATTCACCTTTCAAACGGACAGTAAGTTGTGTCTTTCTCTTCTTAATCACCTTCAAGAACTGTTCATCTTTTCTAAGTCAAGTTGAAAAGAGGCTCTGTTTAGTCACAGCTTGCTACACTTTTTTGAAAACCTGCACCATTTTAGGAATTTCTTTTTGTGTTAAATAATAAGAAAGAAGGCAAGGCAAAATAAGGAAATGTGGAGAAGGGGAAAAAAGCCTTGGAGCCCTTTCGGGTTCCTTCAGCCTTGTCCTTTGGCTTGGGGCTGTAATAGGAAGCCATCTGATCTGGGGCTGCTGGGCTTAGAGAGCGTGACGGCCTGCAAGCTGTCTCCTCAACTCTCCTGACAGCGCAGTTACCATTTTGTGATTTAGCCATTTTTAACTCCAGTGCTGTTATTCCAGAGTTACCACCAATTACTCTGCAGTCTTTCCTGTCAGTTTCCTATCTAAATCGACTCTCCCTACCTGCCTGTCACTCTGCTGATCTTTGCTGCAGTCTTCTACCCCTTTTAATGCTACCGTGATTAATTTCGGCATCTGCAACGGCCATTTGAAGCCACTGAGAGCCTCACCAAGCCAAAGTGCGGAGAAGTGGTGTGGATGGTGTTTCAACACACCTCCCGCAACCAGTACCTCAGAACGTTGTAGATCGGCCCTCAGCTGATCTGACATCCGACAGCCTGGGCCGAAGGCCCGACCACACTGCCTTTGACAGCTGTCAAAATGGTAGACCGGTTACTTTTTGCAATAGTATTCAGGATTGGTGATTTTTTTCCTATTTTCCAAATTAATTCTTTAAGATTTTTGGATTTTACTAGGAGAAGACATTAACATGTCATCCAGCTAGCTGACTCAGTCAATTTCTGGGAGGTCCCTAGCAACAGAGGAAGTGTCCTCAGAGTTTTGACAGACTCAGTCCAATCAGCAGCGGAGACTGATCACCCAATTCTGAATGCTATCTCCACCACAATGGAGAAAGGGATGGTTTTTATAGTAGATTTACCTGAGAGTGAGAGGCACACAGTCATTTCGACTGTAGTGGATTTATTTTCCAAACAAGCTCATTTTGTTACATGCCCAGGACTACCATCAGCCAGGAAGTTATTCCAAAATGTTTGTGAATCATATATATAGATTGCATGGAGTGCCTCGCAGAATCATTTCAGATAGAGGGGTTCAGTTTACTGCAAAATTCTGGAGAGAATTTATAAAAGCAATTGGATCCTCTCAAGGTCTAAGCTCAGGATTTCATGCAGAAACTAATGGCTTAGGTGAAAAAACTAACCAAATTATTGGACAATATTTAAGATGTTATGTAAATTATCAACAAATTAACTGGGCTGAATTGCTGCCATTTGCAGAGGTTGCTTATAATAATGCTGTACATGGCAGTACTGGGTTAACACCTTAACAAATTAATACTGGAATGGAGTTCGTTCCCATGCCTGAATTGCTGAGTGACCCCCCGCCATCCATGTCAGTAACTGAATGGATGACCGCAATTAAGGAAACACAAAAGGCTTTGAATAAGGCAGCGCAAATCCAAAAAATACAAGCTGACAAGCATCTTTCCCAGCAGCTACAATTTAAAGTGGGGGATAAAGTTTATTTGTCAACTAAATATTTGAAGTTACACTTACCTTCTAGGAAATTAAGTCCAAAATTTATAGGGCCTTTTCAGATAATTAAAGTAATAAACCCAGTAACTGTGAAACTCAATCTCCCTAAGTTATTGGGGAAAGTACATCTGGTGTTTCATAGTAGTTTATTAAAGCTGGTTGTTGATTCTTCATTGAGGCCAGCAGAACGTGTAGCTCCAAAGCCTTTGTTCATTACAGGGCACGAACATTATGAGATTAAGAAAATTTTGGATTCTAGGATTTTCAGAGGGAAGTGACAATATTTAATTTATTAGAAAAGTTATCCAATTTCACAAGCGACTTGGCTTAATAGCTGGAAAGTTAAGGCTGATAGATTGGTGGGAAAATTATATGAAACATAAGCCTAAGGCGAATTCTGTGGGTGGCAGAGGAGGTTAAAATGTGCAATGTATGATTGTGTTTAACCTAATTTCAATCTTTGTGTATTTTATGTCATTGCAGGGGTTTCTTTTCAAATGAGGGAGGGAAGCCTGTCAAGCCTAAAATTGACATATGTATAGCCATTTTAGTTAGGCTTAGTATATATCCTTTTTCTTACTTTCTCTTTGGAGGTCATGGGGAAAGGGTTCCAGGCTTGCCACATTCCTACGGGGAGAGGAGTGGAAATAGGGAGAGTTGTTTAGGCTTGGTGATTCTTCTTCCCGTGGGAAAACGAACTGACCATGTTCAAGCCCCTTTTGGTGGAGATTTTGACATCAAACTATGTTAAATTACATCTATTGGAGAATGTAACTTTTGGGGGTTGTTTCTAACTTCTGATATTGTGGGATAATTCCAGGTTGTGTCAGATCCGGAATTACCATGGACTTTGCCAATTTGATGCTTTCCTAAATAAAAGAAATTGTTTTGGAAGATGGACTTTGCTCTTTTCTTTTTAAATGGATTT